GTGTGTGTGTGTGTGTGTGTGTGTGTGTGTGTGCTATATATATATATATATATGTGTGTGTTGTGTGTGTGTGTGTGTGTGTGTGTGTGTGTGTTGTTGTGTGTGGTGTGTGTGTGTGCGTGTGTGTGTGTGTGTGTGTGTGTGTGTGTGTGTGTGTGTGTGTGTGTGTAGAGAGAGAGAGAGAGAGAGAGAGAGAGAGAGAGAGAGAGTGAGAGAGAGAGAGATGAAGAAAGAAAAGAGTAGAGAAGAGGAGCCAGAGGAGAGGAGTAATTGAGAAGAGAGGAAGAGAGAAGGGGGAGTGAGAGAGAGAGAGAGAGAGAGAGGGAGAGAGAGAGAGAGAAAGAGAGTGAGGAAGAGAGAGACAGAAAGGGGAAGAGAGATAGGGGACAGGAATAGAGAGGGAAAAAAATGAGAGTGAGAGAGAGAGAGAGAGAGAAGAGAGAGAAGAGAGAGAGAAACTAGCAAAGAAACGAATCAATTTGCAAAAAATAACTAAAGGTCAGAAAATAAGAGAAAAAGAAAGATGACATTTTGAATAAGAAAAAAAGTTTCTCAGCGTAAACCAATTTAGGTTCTGACGTCACGCCGAGTTGGTCCTCCCCCCCACCCCTTTTCCCCTTCCCTCCTCCTCCATCCTCCCCCATCACTCCTCCTCCCTCCTCCTCCTTCTCCATCCTCCCTCCTCCCTCCTACCTCCTTCTCCATCCTCCCTTCCTCCCTCCTCCCTCCTCCTCCCTATCTCCTCTTCCCTCCTCCTCTGCCCACCCTTCTCTTCTCCTTCCCTCTTCTTCTGTTCCCCCTCTTCCCTCCTCTTCCCTCTTCCCTCCTTCTCCCTTCCCTCCCTACAATTCCCTCCTCTTCCTCTTCCCTCCTTCTCCCTCCTCCTCCCCTCCCCTCCTCCCTCCCTCTCCTCCTCCTCCTCCTCCCTCTCTTCTCCCTCCCTCCCCCTCCTCCTTCTCCCTCCGTCCCTCTTCCCTCCTTCCTCTCCCTCCCCTTCCCTCTTCTCCCTCCCTCCCCCTTCCCTCCTTCTCCCTTCCTTCTTTCCTTCCCACCCTCCTTCCATTCCTCCTCCCTCCCTTCTTCTTTCCCTTTCTCTCCTCCTTTCCCCTTCCCCTTCTCCTTTCTTCTCTTTCTTCCCTCCCTTTTCCCTCCCTTCCTCCTCACTCCTTCCTCTCTCCCTCTTATCTCCCTCCTCCTCCTCCTTCTCTTTTTCCACCATGCTTTTCTCCCCCCTCTCTCATCCCATCTCTCTCCCTCTCCCCTCCATTATCCCTCCTTCTCTCTATTCCCCTCCCCTCTCTTTTCCCTCCCTCTTCCCTTTTCCCTCCCTTTTCCCCAACCCCTCTCCCATCTCTCTTCCCTCCCTCTCCCTTCCCTCTCCCCTCCCTCTCCCCTCCCTCTCCTCTCCCTCGCCTCTCCCTCTCCCTCTCTCTCCAACGCCACTTCCCTCCCTCTCCTCTCCTTCTCCTCTCCTCTCCCCTCCCTTCCCTCCCTCTCCCCTCCCTCTCCAACACCACTTTCTCCCTCTCCTCTCCTTCTCCTCTCCCTCTACCCTCCCTCTCACATCCCTCTCCCTTGCCTCTCCTCTCCTTCTCCTCTCCCTCTCCCCTTCCTCTCCTCCCTCCCAACGCTTCTCCCCTCCCTCTCCCCTCCTCTCCCTCTCTCCCTAACGTCTCTTCCCTCTCCCTCCCTCCCCTCCCTCTCCCCTCCCTCTCCCCTCTCTCCCTAACGTCTCTTCCCTCCCTCCCTCCCTCTCCCCTCTCTCCCTCCTAACGCCTCTCCCCTCCCACTCCCCTGTGGCATCTCAGCGAGGCTTGTTGATATCGCCCCTCTGCGGCCTTTCCAACGTGGTGCTAAAAATAGATGTCCGGGATTTTGGATTGGAGGGAGGGAGGGAGCAAAGGAAGGAGAGAGGGGGGAGGGAGGGAAGGTAGGAGATAGATAGAAGAAGGGAGGGAGGGAGCAAAGAAGGAGAGAGGGAGAGAGGAGGGAAGGTAGGAGATAGATAGAAGAAGGGAGGGAGGGAGCAAAGGAAGGAGAGAGGGGGGAGGGAGAGAGGGAGGGAGGGAAGGTAGGAGATAGATAGAAGAAGGGAGGGAGGGAGCAAAGAAGGAGAGAGGGGAGGGAGAGAGAGGGAGGGAGGGAGAAAGATAGAAGAAGGGAGGAAGGAAGAGGGAGGGAGCGAGGGAAGGAAGGAAGATAGGGGAGGAGGAGAGGAGAGGAGGTAAGGAAGGAAGAGAGGGGGGAGGGAGAGAGAGAGGGAGTAAAAGGAAGGAGAGAGTGGGAGGGAGGGAAGGTAGAAGATAGATAGAAGGGAGGGGGAAGGAGTAAAGAAGGGAGAGAGAGGGAGTAAAGAAGAAGATAGATAGAAGAAGGGAGGGAGGAGTAAAGAAGGAGAGGGAGGGAGGTAGGAGATAGATAGAAGAAGAGAGGAAGGAGAGAGGAAGGGAGGGAGAAGAAGGAAGAGAGGGGGGAGGGAGAGAGAGAGGGAGGAAGAAGAGAGAGGGGGAGGAGAGAGAGAGAGGGGAGAAGGAAAGAAGGAGAGAGAGGAAGGAGGGGAGGGAAGGAAGAGAGAAAGGGAAGGAAATGAAGGTCGATAGGAGAGACAGGGGGCGGAGGAAGGAGAGAGGAAGGAAAGGTGAAAGGGAAGAGGGAGATAAAGAAAGAGAGAAACAAAGAATGAGAGAGAAAAACCGGAAAGAAGGATAAAAAAAAAAAAAAAAAAAAAAAATAAAAAAAAAAAAATATAATATATATATATATATATATATATATATATATATATATAATATATATATATATATATATATATGTATATTATATATATATATATATAATATAATATATATATATATATATATATATTTATATATATATATTTATTTATTTATATTATATATATATATATATATATATATATATAATATATATATATATATATATACATGATTTTCCCGCTCACTATTGACAGAATCGGCACCTACATAACACAGCGTCCCCAAAATAGCAAAGCAAATAATATAGGGAAAGGTGTTTCGTTCTATGCTTTGTCCAGTTGCAATAAAAAGATAAAATCATATTGAA